GAAGACGAAGGTGCCGGGCAGGGACAGCAGGTACCCCGGGCTGTGGCCCTCTCGGGACCCGAGCAGTCTGGGGGCACCTTAGATGCCTGGGTGCCCCATTAAGCTGCTCCCTGAACTGGTGAGCATGCTTGGTTCCTTTCCTGTAGCTTACGCATACCGGGGCATAGGTAGATGGCTGAAACCTTGGACCAGGTCTGTGCTGTTCCTGTTATCAGAGGAACTAATTGCCCTCTGGTATTTAATTACTTGTTGGAATGTATTTGTATGTTTGAAACTGTCTTACCTGTCAGTGTGTGCTAGAGTAAGAGCTTTGCTTTCACATTCCCGAAAAGAACTTGGAAGAGAAGCAGGGGTATGTTGTAGCGACTATGTAAGCTAAGAACTATGACCTCTTTCAGTTATACTGTATAATCATTTTAATGTTGTTAACTAGTGAAATTGGGGCACAGTGCAGGAGGCTATGGTTTCTCACGTGGTAGGCAGACACAAAAGCTGGGTGTATTAGGACAGACTAAATCACTTCCATTTTGAAGTTCAGGATTACAAACGAATACAAACTCAGTGTAAGCCTGACTTCAGTAGGCTTGGGTTTTGGGGTGGGGGGGGTTAAGTTTAGCTGATTCTAAAAATAGTCATCTTGGGTTTATTGTGAGTTCATGTGATTTCTGGATTAGTTGTGTGAATTGCTTGTACAGTAACCAAATGCATAAGCAGTTAGGCTTTGTCAGAGCAAACTCAACTGTAAGTGTCTATTACATGTGTGTGGAGATGTTTGAAAACTGGGTATCTCTTCTAGTGAGAGGCATTGAAAGATAATTCCAAAACGTCAATGCTATTTTCTGCTGACCTTCCTTTTGTTAACTCTTCAGTGAAACTGCTGGGTGTAAGAGTTCATAAAATATGGAATCAGTATCGTAGAGTATCTCTTTTTGTTTCTTGTTATCTTGACTGATTTTAAAATACAGAGGTTGTTACTGTAGCAGTTGATCTGTATGCCAATTCCAACCAATTCAACCATACTCTCATGAAGTGACCTCAGTTTTAAAAAGAAGGAAAGTGGTTCTGTAACTGAAGCACAAAGCCTTTAAGCTTTGTACCATATAGCCTAGGTTATACGATGGGAAATAATTACAGTCTATAATTAAAATACAGAGCTGGCAGGTAAGTTACCATCTGACTAGGAAAAGGAGTATGGGGGTTTTTTTTAATTCTTTTAAGTGACCATTAATAAGGGAAACTTAGTAACCAAGCTATGCGTGGGGTATGTGTATGGTTAAAAGAGCACACTCTGCAATTTTTTTTTCTTTTGTAGAATTTGCAACTGTAATTAGTAAATTACCTAAACTCCCTCCTCCCATGCACATTGGTCTTACCAGTAGGAGCCAAGCTGTTTGCCTCTGAATTAAGGACAGAATTCATGGTGCTGTTTCCCTTCCCCCACTCTTTCTTCCTGAACTCATTTGAGTTTTTCTGGTAACTCAGGGGTTTCAGGTCAGGTTAAAGGGAAAACCTCCTCTTGAATCCTCACAAGGAACTTCTTGGCAGTAAGGATAGCCTCTCCTAGCAGGAATAGAGCTGTAACTTTTACTAGAAACCAACCATTGGAATAATCACTCTGGTAGATCACTGCCTCAGGCCTTGTTCCTCCTCAGTACTTTTCTAAAAAAGTGTATTAATGTCTAGGTGCTTAAAATTTTCCAGATCTAAAGTAGACGGAGCCTGGAGAAGGGAATAGAGACAACATCAGTGTATAAGTAGATCCACTGATGCCATAACTGAGGACTGAAATCCTGCCAACTGGTACCTAATGTTTCTGTTGTTTTAAAGCTCTTTAATGTGGGACTCTGCTCTCTTCTCTTTAAACACTGTTTCAAAAGATAGTGTTAAACACCTTTCTTTTGAGGATACCTTGCTTGTTTTCAACTGGCCAATGAGCAGATGTGGGTTTGGGGAAGATTACTGCACTCTGTGATGGTTATATTCTTATTAAGTAGCTCTGCAGTTCTGCTACTTGATTTAAGTACATGACCAAAAGACTGACAGTAAATGGGGTTGGACTAGATGACCTCTAAAGGTCCCTTCCAACCCAAAACTTTCTGTGATTGTATGGCACAGGTTAGAGAAAGCAAATGATCACCTTAGATACTGATAACAGTAGTTACACATTTTGGAAAGTGTGGTGAGTTTTGCTATTAACCCTTCTTGGCTTACAGAAAGTTTATCTTAATGTAGTTTTTTTCTGATAAAGCTCAGTTGAATGATGTAAAATGCCATTGGATGGGAATGTGGGAATAGGTCTGTCAACGAATCCTTCCAAATTTATTCCTCATCTAAAATGTACCAGCCCTCTCAGTGTTTGCTGAATGGCTGGGGTAATATTTTAGTGCCAGAACTTAAAGGTTAGAATGTAAGATTTGTACTGACAGTGACAGTATATATTCCACGTTAATATAGAACAGACTGTACTATTCTATTTCTTGGAATACAGCTTGATGTGTTCGATGGTTTAAGACTGAGCAGCAGGTTTATATTAGCTGGCATCTTTGCATAGTTCTCAATAGATTCTCTTTAAAAATTCCCTGCATTATTCTGTGCATTCTCTCTGATTGATTTCATCTGAGGATGTAGCATGAAGCATGACTTCTAATTACACATATACAGATTTGAATTTGTGGGATCAATGTAAAAAAAAAAAAAAAAGAGCAGGTTTGCACGCAGATTAATATTTGGCAGTCTGTCTATTCCTAGAGTAGATATCCTACTACCTTCTCCTTGTCTTCCCCCTCAGACCAATTAACAAGTTTGCCAGCTAAGTAACACCTTTTTTGCATCTTACAGCAATTTGCCAGGATTTTCTGAACTATGCGACTACAATTGTGCTGTTCTAATAAATCACCTTCTTGTGGAATCTTATTCCAGAATGGGGGGAAAAAACCAATTGGCAGGTGAAACTAGGGTAAACTCGTCTCAAAAGACACTTTTGAGATTTTAGTGAACTGAAGTTAAGCTTTTAGGAGACAGTGTTGCCATCAGGCTTGGCAGCTATGCAGAAGGCTGCTTTTGATCACATACCAAAAGAAATACTGAAAGCTCCTAGTTGATGCATGATAATGTGCATTAAACTTTGGCTAGTGGGCTTTCTAGTAATTTATCTAAATAATAGAACAGACACTACAGTTTTCACGGGGATTTGGTCTGTAATCAGGATTGAGACCTTCTTCAAAGATATTTGAATGTGGTTTAGCGTAGCTATGACAAACTCTTTTTCTGTAATGCAAATAAATGTGGGTTTTTTTGTGAAGATTTTTATCCCTGCTGTTTAACACTAGCAAGGACTGCAGTGCATCTGAGTTGTATTTGAAAGATGTGAAGAAGTTGATCCCTAGCTGCAAAGACAAATAGTGTGGCAATGTTAGCAGTTGACAGGATAACGCTACCTAGTGTTGTATCTTCTGGCAATGGGAAGATTTCTGGAGTAATGAACAACCAGTGTGATACATTGACTATATTTCTTTTCATATGTTGGCAACAGAAGTATTTGATGTTCCTATGTATTTCTTGTGTGCATGTATGTGTAAATCTAGCTCTTGTCTTCAATCACAACACTTGTATCCTTCGTGTTAATATAAATCCAAGGGTTTTTATTCTGTTTGACGAGTGTCAGTGTCTGGTAAAGAGGTAATAGATGGCGTATAATTGTTTTTACACGGGGGGGTTAACTGTACTGTGGGTTAGTAACAATAGCTCATGGCTCTTCAGCATAAAATTAGTCCACAGTGTAATAGGTTTTCATTATCATAAAAATCCATCAGTTCAGTTAGTATTTCCTTTTCTTTGTGGATACTGCTAACCCATAAAAACAAAGTAATTGTATCTAATGGTTATTTTGTCCTTTTTGGCCCTTCTTCCTACAATCAAAAATCTTTAGGGTAGACTAGAATGATGTTCAATTACCTGATATAACTGTTTTAAAAACTTACTCTGTTGAGAACACAGTACTCTAGATAACAACTTGCAGTAAATTTATCTGTGCATGCTGTCTTCAGTGGTGCTTGTTAGTGTAGTATCTTGCATGAGTATGTATTTCTACTGAACTTCCAGAAACACAGAATTAAACAGTAAAACAAACAGCTCTTCATCCACTCTGCCCTTTACATGCCAGAGTCTTTAGTGCATGGAATATGCATGTATAATAAATGGGACATCTTGTACTTGCTGTTGTGAGTGAAAACTTGTTCAGACGAGTTCCTTCCCCCTCCACGTGAGTAGAGCTTGCGTGAATTTATGTAACTGAAACAAGTTCTTTAAAGAAATTCAACTTTTTGAGGAATGATGAATATTCACTTGTATTCTTCCATGTTATTGACAGCTGTAAAATATCTATGGGTAGGTGATAAAAATGAGAGAGTCCGGATTTTTGCAGTTCCATCCATGTAGACATACTTCATTTATACAGACTCCTTTTTAAAGCCTCAATAATCCTATTCTGTGGCTATAGGAATCTGCTCATGTATGTTGTGTTGAAGGGTTGGAACAGTAAGAGAAATAAAGATGAGATTTTGCAATAAGTAGTCCACACCAGAAGACTTGTAGAAAGAGCTGTTGCTTTTTACTATATTCATGTTGAGTTTTTCTTTAAATCACGTTTTAACTGTTGGCTGTTTCTGTAGTGTGACCGGTTCTTCGCTTGTTTTCTCGCTTTTCAGTATATTCATACTGTCTAATCACATGCTGAGATGAGACATGCATGATATTTGTAGTCATCCAAGTTCTTCTCTGTGCTTACTGTAATCAATAACAAATTTCACTTGGATAATTATAGCTAAACTGCTATATACCTGCCCTGGGCAAAAAAAGAATATCTGTTCTTCTATTTATACAGCTTGAAGATTTTTTTTTTTTAGCCAGTGCAGAGCATAATGAGGAATATAGCTTGAAGAAATACCTTGGCATTTTTTAACCTGTTCAAACTATTGGGGAGTTACATTGATCACTGTAGTATCTTATCTTAAAAATTTTACTTTTTTCACTTCTTACTAGAATATTAATAAAATCAGTACATGAACATACAAATGCCTGATGTCTGAAGCTTGTGAGGAGGAAAAAACTTCCTGTAGTGCATTAAATACTGCCAAGCAAATCTAAAAATTATAACTGTTAATCTTTCTCTGTATCTTTGTTCCTAACTTGAATTCAATTATGTTATACGAAATATTTTAAGACTCTTAGGAACAGAAAATATAGCAGACTGTAAAAAAAAAAAAAAAAGTCTTATTAGGAACTGTAGGGTGACTTTTTTTCTTTTCCACGTAATTTCAGGGTCTGAGCAATGATCACTCTGTGTTGGAGGTGATGAGCTGGACTGGGTGGAGAACTTCCAAAACCTAGGTTCAGTTACTGGAACAATAATTTTCCATTGAGTTAACATAGCTGTTGACACACCCTGAGTGGAAACAGGACTTAAGACTTTTGCTTATATAAAAACAAAGATGTAGTATTTGGAATTGAAATGGGTAGAAAGAAGGCACTGATCTCCAGCAGAATCACGGCTTGATGCATATGCAAAAATACGGAGTATTTATAGATAGTCTTAATTGTCATAATGCATCTGTATGGGTTTGGGGTTTACAGCATGTCATGCTTTTCACGCTTTTTATATATGTGAGTCGTCAGGAATCACGCTGCTGCTTATGAGCAGTGGTGAGATTTTTTTTGTAATACATATCAAATAAAAGCACTTCTTTCAGGAAACTTCATTCCGTAAGGACTTGAAGTAAAACACAGTACCTAACTCTTTAAATAACTGTTCACTTAATAGATTTCAATTAGTGTTTTGAAGTTACATGAAGTAGTCATTCCCTATTTACTCAACTCATGTCATAAGCAATTCCTAGTTTCTAGGCAGTAACAAACTAATGTTGTTCTGTGCCTTTTCATTTTTAGAACCTGTCAGTCATGAGCATTCATTATTGTGTTTGGTTTCTTTTTTTTCCTCACTCAACCTAAGGACAATATATTTTTCAAGTTCTTCAAGTATTCTTGCACAACGAGGAAAAAGAAGAAACATTTCGGTGAATGAGGAGTTTTCTGCTTCTATAGTGTTTTCCTTGAGAAGTGGGTCTTTGAATGAGGATGACAATGGAAGAGATGAAGAATGAAGCAGAGACCACTTCTATGGTTTCCATGCCTCTCTATGCTGTTATGTACCCTGTCTTTAATGAGGTAAGCTACATTTTGCTTTAGAATGTAATAATCCCCTTTACATTGGGGAAATGTGATCACAGTAACAGGGTGCTCATCTTGATTGGGAACGCTTTGTGTCTAACACCATCATCTGTCTATGTATTGTTGTACCCTTCTTTCCGTGCATACGATTTCATGCTCATCAAAGATTGCTGGGTGTCTTGGCCCTGATTTTTTTTCCTTACCTTTTACAGAGGATTTTCACAAAAATGCTAGGTCTGGCATTCTATGGCAGGAAGTAAGATACGGTTGAACATCTACCTGTGAACAGCTTGATACGTTTTAATTTTACTGCTAATGGCTATAGTTTGATAGGTTATTTGTTTTTCTGTGAGTATCGGAGATAGTCAAGCTGTTCTCAGAAGTTTCTGTCAGACTTCTGTAGGCTGGATGATAAATGCAAAATCTGTCCAGTGACATGTTTGATTTCTGTGTTTTTATTTTGGGGGGAGGTCTTTCCCTTGGGATTAAACTTTATAGTAGCTCTCCCTCAAATGAGACCGGTAATTTGAATGCTTCTGTCACTTCCCTTTTTTGCTTTGTTCTGGTAACATTAGAATTGCTAATAATTCTAAACTTTCATTGCAGCTAGAAAGAGTAAATCTATCTGCAGCTCAGACACTGAGAGCAGCTTTTATTAAGGTGAGAAGTAACTTGTATTGAAGAATCATTGTTGAAAAGGTAAACCATATATGATGAAGCTAAAAAGCCAGCTGTCTTGTTTCCTTGTGTCTTTGTGTTTGAAGACTGCATCTTTGATCCAATGGTCTAAAAAAAATACGGACAATTACATGGACTGTAAGTTTGAAATGTCTGCAAATGTTATGAGTAAAAATCTGAATGATCCAGGCATACTAAGCAATTTTAAACAGAATATTGTCTTGTGCATGTAGTACAAAAGCTTAAATGAGGAATCAGTCAGTGAAGGTAACAAGGTTATAAACTTAGTCTAAATATGACAAGACTATGTAGCATAGGTGCTCATGAGAAATAGGCCTGCAGCAGACTTGGAAAATGGTTTACAAAGTGAATGGTAATGGGATTTTTTTGTGGATGAGGATAAGGTCAATGTTTGTATTTGCATCCAGCAGTTAATGGAGAAAAGCTTCTTCCAACTTTTCTATTTTATTCCTAAAGAATGAAAATACAGCTATTCCTTTACAGTGCTTTATTGAAGTGGTGATCTTTTGAAAATCTTTAAAGAAAAATAATTATAGACGTGACATATCTTAACATGTGAGCTATGCAACTAAGTAATACTCCCCTGTTTCTACACTTAAATCCAAGTGTGCCTAGATAGTCTTAAGTCTTGACTAGAGCTCATACAAGTTAAATGCTTTTCCGACTGGTGGTAAGGAGCTAAGCTGCATGCAAATAATGTAAAAACTGAGATATTGGTGGAAATGATAGTGCTAGCTAAAAAACCCACACACCCTCATTCAACACAGCATAATTCTTTGATAGCAGCACAGGTAGTGTGAATACCTCCAATGTTAGTCTAGCTTAACTTTACTTAGATATGTCATCAATCAAAAGGTTTTTTTTAAAAAAGCAATTCTGAGATGATGTTTGAGCATCTGATGTGATTCATAAGAGGCACATTTATAAAATGTCATGTGGAAGATGGGGGAGTAGCACCTGTGTTTGAGTGAATTAAATCCCAATGGATACAATATCTTTGTCTCGAAGCTTAGTGTTTATGGAAATATAACAATATGGAATTTATTGAAACACTTTCTTATTCAAATTGGAATGAGTGGAAAGGATTATTGGAAAAGTTGTTTATACAAAATCACTGTTGTAATCCGAGAAAAATGGATGTCATAGTGGAAGAATGATTTTCAATGTAATCTGCTAGTTTAAAGCCATTAGACTTTTAAAGTTTCTAGCAAAGTCCTGCAGTGTATGAAGCAAGTTCCATGGAAATCTGCCTGTGTGCTTGCAATATTCAGGTCTTGCATATTTAAGAATAAAAATTTCCTTTGCCGTACAGGCTGAAAAAGAAAATCCAGGTCTTACACAGGACATCATTATGAAAATTCTGGAGAAAAAAAGTGTGGATGTGAACTTCACAGAATCTCTTCTGCGTATGGCAGCTGATGATGTAGAAGGTAGTATCTTATGTTGAATGAGTGTATATTTAATTACACTGTTAACTAGGAACATGCATTTCTCTATGCCTATTTTCAGAAGAGGTTATTTGTTTCTTAATAGGCTTTTTTCAGCATGGTAGAAGAATATTTTCTAAATACTTCTTTTGGAAAAGTTAGATCTCCCTAAAACACGTACTTGACTAATAGCAGAAAGAAAATTGATGTTTAGAACTATGTTTATGTGAGTGCATGGTTCACCTTTTGCAGTGCTAACAACCAGAAAAAAAGCATATAGAGTATAATACCTTTTCTCTGCTTCAAATTAAAAGCAGTAGTTATACTGTCAGAGAAGGGGAGCATACAGTAGGCTTTAATAATACAGCATTTGATTAGTGTAGTGTCTCACTTAAAGTAAGATGGGCTCTTTTTCCACCTTGTGATAATAAAGATTATTTTTGTACTGTGTTTCTATTGATGCCGAGTGTATTCACTGCAGTTTTCTGGTCATGGCTGTTTTTGTACTGTTCACCTTCAAATGTTAACATGGCAATACTGCTGCATTTTGTGAAGTAGTGTTTTTAGCTGTTGCTAGAGATTTGAGGAAAAACTAATGGTATTTTTGAATATGTTCTTGTTAGAGTATATGATTGAAAGACCAGAACCAGAATTCCAAGATCTTAATGAAAAGGCACGAGCACTTAAACAGATTCTTAGTAAGATTCCCGATGAGATCAATGACAGAGTGAGGTTTCTTCAGACAATCAAGTAAGTACTGTATTATGTATTTCTTTGCAGATTGAGGAGTCAAACTTCTTACTTAAATCTGAATGTTCAAATGCTGTAGGAGATGCTAGCAACACTGTGCCCATTGGAAAGGAGCCTGATCTTTGCGTATAAGTGAGCAGAGTTGAGCATTTTTAACAAGAGCCCCATGTTGCTAGACTGAACTTAACTTGATGATTCCTAGTTTCAATTCCTGTGTCACTGGTCTAGCTCTTTGCATTTGGTCTTGTTCCATACTGTCTGACACTTACTCTGTAGAGACTGTTGTAAGAAGTATTTGGCTACTAGAAGGGGATTAAATTCCAACATTTAAATAGAAAAGCTTAAAGATATTACAACTATCTTTTTATTGCCAAATAGGGACATCGCGAGTGCAATAAAGGAACTTCTTGACACAGTAAATAATGTCTTCAAGAAATACCAATACCAGAACCGGCGGGTATGTGCAATAACTTTTTCTAGAATATTTTTAATAGTATAAGAGGAAGCATATAATTTTGATCAAAGGATGACCAGCTTAACTGGTCAACGACATAATACTCATTTTGATCATTTTGATGACCAGCTTAACTGGTCAACGACATAATACTTTAACAACAGGATTGTTGTATTATAGGTTTCAGAAGTTCTTATAGGAAGAGGGCAATTTCTCTGCATGTCTGCTAAAAAAAAAAAAATCAAAATTCCTATACCTATATAATATTAACTAATCCTCTCAGTTTAACATTAAGATTCTGACTGTACCCAACAATATATGAACTAAGACTCTGCTCCTGCTGTTTTTGTTTCTTAGGCACTTGAGCACCAAAAGAAAGAGTTTGTAAAATACTCCAAAAGTTTCAGTGATACTCTGAAAACCTATTTTAAAGATGGAAAGTAAGTATGTTCTTGTACTAACTTTTTATGTAATGAAAAGTATTCTTGACTAATAGGGGGAAATAAGACAAGCTTTTGGGCATAAGCTACTGTCTTCAGGACTTGCCTAATTTTTTTTCCTCACCTATGTCCTCAGACCATCATGGCTGCTTTAAAATATTTTTATTCCTTTTGAGTAAAGGGAAGTCTGTTAAATGCACAACCACAGAACACCCATGTGCTGTATTACCTTTGAATTTGAACATGTGAAGTGAAATTTCATGGTCTTGTGTGGCTTTTTCAATATACATATAAGAACAAAGAAATGATGAATACTTCATTGCAAAAAGTAATCTATGTATTTGAAGTATCATTTGCAAACAGTAAACATCTGTGCAGTGTTTTCTTTGATCTACATTTTTATTGTCCTTTCTTTATAGCTCCTTATAGTGCTTTGCAGTATTTGGAATTAGCTGATTAATCTTTTTATATTTGAAAGTTTTAGCCTTTGAATATTTTAGCCTTCAAACTGAGGCTTTTTTCAGGTCTTCACCTTGGGTTTTGAAGTCTCTACTCTTGTCCGTTTCACTGTAGTGACTGTTTTGGCTGATGAGTGTAGTCCCCTCAGATTTTGACAGTGCCAATGTGTTTTATGTGCTACTGTTCTAAAGATGAGACCTAACTTTCATGTCTGGTCTTGTTGAGGTTGGCAAAGACTTAAGAGCACCCAGGGGATGGTGCATTAATAAAGGAGAGAGAAGTTTTGAGACCAGCTGTGAATACTACCTTGCTCCTATCAAAGCATTCTTTCTTTTTTCCTGCTCGTATTTAGATTGGGGCTAAATTTGGTTATGGTACCAAAATGAGAAATTTAGACCTTGGTAGCTTTATGATTACTGGATTGATGTATGGATAATTTTTCACGTCGACTAGGTCTAAACAGTCTCAGTTGATGAGAAAACTATTTGACTGAAAAAATGGGGAAAGGGTTGGACGTGTTGTGCGTGGACCCCAACCATACTGAAAGAGACCAGCTTTCTTTAGCCCTACGTGTAAAGTGAATGCTGTGCCGTGTATTTTGGGCATAAGCTTTAAGTGTGTTAGGTATTATCAGTATTGTAAGAAATCCCAGGTAAGGCTTGTATTGCCTTGTGGAATCTGAAGTAACTTAAATCTGAACTGCATGTTGAATAAGATGCCCTGCTCCCACCAGAAAGTAACAGCACTAAACAAGAGTCATGCTAACAGGCATCATTACTGAGCTGAAAAATTCAGTGACCCCATGCCTCTTTCTTAACAAAAGGGTAACTGAAATAGTCTGTTACTTCCATATGCGTGCATGCTTAGTATTGCTTGAGGAAAGAGTTGCAAATTCTGAAAATACTAGGGGATGAAAAGTTCAGCTTTGAAAAGAAGAGGTGTTTAACGATCATCTGCTCCACTCTTTTTCTTGGTTAGCTAAAACCCCAGAAATACATGATTGAGATATCAGTGATGGTTGAGAGCCAAAGTCTTTAAGTTCCTGCCAATAAACATAGTCTTTCTAGGATTAGCTATGCAAATAAGTCTGTCTGTTGGCCAGGGGTAAGCTTCAGGTGGATCATATGGTAAAACATAGATGTGCTTCTGATTTGCAGAGCCTAGATGCCAGTATATTTAGTTGCTCAAACTTAATGCTGGATTTATCGAATGACATATTTCTAAAAATGTCTGAAGCGGTATCTTTCTCTTTTAACAGGGCAATAAATGTGTTCGTAAGTGCCAACCGACTAATTCATCAAACCAACTTGATACTCCAGACCTTCAAAACTGTGGCCTGAAAACTGTATATGTTGAGAGTTGTACTTTTCAATGGTGGATAGGGTACCTTTATATGTAAATTTTAAAGTTTTGACTGTATAAATTATCAGCCCCTCTCGAGGGGCCTAATGCAGGATTTTGAATGGGATTATTGCCATCTTACACCATATTTTTGTAAAACATTGTAGCTTAATCATAATCTCACAATGAAGATTTTGCATCACTTTTTGCTATTATCATTCTTTTCAGAATTATAAGCCAAAAGAATTTACGCCTTAATGTGTCATTATGTAACATTCCTTATAAGAATTGTAAATATTTGGTGTTCTGTTTCTGACATTTTAACTTGAAAGCGGAAAACTGCAAGATTATGTATTTAACAATATTGGTGGCAAATATTCAATAAATAGTTTACATCTGTTAGACTGTCTTTTTGTATGTGAACAACAATGCATAACTCATCTTCCTAGAACTGCAGAACATTCATTAAATGGAAAAATAAGAATTATTTGGGTGCTTAAAGCTACTGGCAGTTCAAATCAGTATAAAATTAGGGTTTTTTTTCTTAAAGCTGAGATTTTTTTGGCTGTGACCTAATACTAGACCAGAATACTAGAATAATTCTATTTAAATGTCTTTGGCAAAAAAATAAAGAACCCCAGAAGTGAGGTGTGCTTTTGTTTTTGATAGAAACTAAATCCCACTTCTTTCTTAATCTTCTGTTGATGCTGAGTTAAGAGGTTTTTATTCCTAGACTACTCTGAGCTTTTAAGCAGAGAACTACTTTAAACATATGCAGCTGACTATGCAGCAAAGGGTGAATTTAAAATATTAAGATAAGTGGGTTTTATATTGGTACCCTTTGGGGGAGGGAGGAGGAGAGAAGATAGAACTCTTCAAGGTAGCACTAGTGATGTCTATACTATGCATGCCATATGGCAATGTTTTTTTTCAGGGACTGAAATCATGTGAGACCTCGATTGATAAAACTTGTTTGTGTAGATGGTTAAGAACTGCTGATGGAGAGATTCCAATTTTATCATTGTGATTTCGTGGTGACATTTCACAAGTTCTAATGAGTATCTCGCATTCCCCTTTGAAGCCCACCTTGAGTTTATTTTGAAATAGAATTGTTACAGAATAAACTTCTGAAAATCTTCAAAATATTTACATGGCCATACCTAGTAAGTTTAGGGAAGAATGTGAAGCAGTTTATGAAGCTGCACGAGCAGTTGCAGGAGGATCGCTTCAGACTGAAAGAGCACAATTGCTACAGAACTATTCCTTGTTCAGGTATAAAGGGTGAAGAATAGGTACAGCCAGACTTCTCTTGCACACTGGTCCGGTGCTGTATTGCTCATTTGGGGCAAGTGCCTTATCCAGAGTTCAGCAGCTGGGTCTTTGAATTTGGTTACCTGCTTAAATGATCTCAAGGGAGAAAATTATATCTGCAGCCCTTCAAAATAGCGCTGGATGTTCTGCCGTGTATCTGTGCATGGAAATGTTTCCTTGATGAAAGCACTGACTGTTTTGAAATATAACAATGTGAAGGAGAGTATTATGTAAAAATGAGTTCTTGGGAATGTATGTTGTGAATTTCTTGGTTACATAAAGCGATAAAGAGGACATGCTCCTTAAAGCTTGCTGTTCAGGCTGTTTTCTGTTTTGACAGTGGTGTGGTGTGTTTGCTGGCAAATTGAGCTTAGGAACATGGCAAAGGGATGCATATACAGTTCCTAGTTAGAACTTTTTGTTATTTATTAAAGCTTGGCATGCTAAACTGTCATTTCTTGGAAAGCTGTAGAAGAAATGCAATGTTAGCAGTTACAAAGGAGGCAGCCTGACTAATCTAGAGGAATATTTAATTTGCATCTTTGAATTCTGTAAGTAAAAAGGTTGAGTAGTCATCCTTGTGGATTATGTTAACTTACATCCTAGCGCCAAAGGACTTAATGAAAACTAATTAGTTAGGCAGAAGAAACAGCCAGGCACCAAGACTTTCTGATGCTTCATTTATCTTAAAAAGAGTGTTTGGTACTGCACCCATTGGCTGCAAGGGGGCACGTGAAAGCTGGGGTTATACTTTGTGAATTGGACTTAATTCCAATAAAATTCTGAGATTTTTCTATATTCTTGGATTGAGAGGGAGAGCAGTGAGTGTTGGCAATCCTTATTAGTCAAATGATACCATGTTAACGTCTGTAGGTGTAGTTAAAAAAGTTAAAAAAAAAAATACGACTTGGGTCCCAAACAAGATGCTGTGTTATGCCCTGCTGCCTGATTCCTTGAAGTTAAAAATCAAAGGGGCTATCAAGAAATGAGCCGTTCCTGTTCATCAGTTCTTCCAAAAACCTTTATTAGGTAAAAGGTACCAAGTACAGGGCTAAGCTTCAGGTAGTCTGGCCAATATGTTTTGTTTTATTTGTAACCTTATTGTGGTTTCTTTGTTACCCTTGAAAATAATGGAAAATTATTCATTGTAATCAATGTCTGGTAATGGGAAAACTTGAAAACTGATGTCTTCAGGTCACGCTCTTCTCTTGTGTGCAGTGAATCCATATCTAGTGGTTTTACAAACTTTATTTTCCACTGAGTATGAGCTGGGGCGTACGTCTGTCAAATTTTATTGTGGTTTTGCACTTTATTAAAAATACCTGAGTAGCTAAAGATAAGTTTCTCTTAAGGATTTCTAATACAGCAGTTGGTGTTGCAAAATGCTATTAGAAAATTTCAGCTGTGAATGTGGATTATAATTGATAAGATGATGTCAACTTACAGAAAACCAATCTAATAAAATAAAACTTTGTATATTTGTTAATGAAGCAAAGAAATGTCTTAATCACTTGTTTTGATCTTTCTCAGCCTGTAAAGAAATGAAGAAAAGCCTAGATTGACTTATTTCTGGTTAGAAGCTTCTTGGTTTAATACTGATAAAAAGTTTTGTTTGCAAGTCTGTAAGATGTGCCAGGTGCCCAGCTCAATATAAGCTTTATCTGGCGTTGACAGAAAGTGGTAAGTATGGAATTTCACACCGTTCTGTTGTCAGAACTTCTGTTTGTCCAGACAGTAAGATGAGACAGTATCAGTCTTGATTAAGCATTATCTTTTCATATATCTCATCTAGATTACCACCAAAGCGTTCCTTTGTAATGTTCTTTTTGGATCTTCCACGGTTTGTCAGGGGAAGACATGCCTTGCCTACTCTGCAGGTGTTGCCTGATCTCTTTATTTTACAGAGACTCTGCATGCTTCTCTGAATTGGGTGGGGAATGAAAGGGAGGTGATCTAGACAAGCTTGCCACAAATTCCAGTTTTGGATTATTCCATTATGAAGGGGAGATAACTAACAAATATAATTTATGTGTGAGATACTAACCACCATGTTTGGCAGGGCAGTGATTATCACCTCTGGAGCAGGCGCTGGCTGTTCTGCTTGAGAACATCGCTTTGCCGTGCTCAGTCTGGCTCATCCTCCCACGGGACCTAACCAGTGCCCTCTGGAAAAGCTTTTGCAGGCAGTTTCTACCCGTGAGCTGTGGGAACTCCTTCAGCTTTGCATAATGATTCACTGCATTTGTTCACTTTGTCATTTTTCACTCCGCTGTTTTGGTTTTCCTCATACTTTTCTGGGCCGATGTTGCTTTCGAGAGACCAGCAGGAAGCGTGCTTCAGGAGCAGAACCAACCTTAGTGCTAAAAAACAGGGCTGAAAAGATGCTCCTGGGTCATCAAGCTTGGCTTCCTGTTGCAGAAGTTAAAAAGTACTATATAATGTTGGTCATAAATCTGTCCAGTTCTGTTTTAAAGCTAGCTTTTGTCCTCATTCCTCTTGTTAGATACAATTTTAAAACAGTCTGAAAGAAAAAAAAAAAAACCTTCAAATATTAGAGTTTAATATGCTGCATAAATTTAATTTATGATGAAGAATTCACTAACCTTGTCCACAACCAATTGTTCTTTTTCCCTCTTCTTCACTTAGTCTTGGGATGAATTGTATGCTGTCCTGGGCTTCACTTTTTAAAGATACACAGTCCCAAGTTTTTGGTCCTCTCTAGAAAGAGTAGAGGTGTAGGCAATGCTAGATTTGCTCCTTTGAGGCTGAGATAATTTTTTCCTCGTGCTTGTTACACAAACTTGAATTTTGCAACAAAATTCATTGGAGATGGTGCCTCCAAGGTGGAGGAGGAGGGTTTGGCTCATCAAGAGACTTCTGTGGAGGTGATGTCCCTTAGCTTCTCTGTCCCTCTCCTGCCTCGCAGCACATTGTCATGCCAAGGACTCCTAGCAGGGGTGGGGGAAGAAAAGATCTTCCTTCGGCATTCACACCAGGATTGATTCCTAGGTGATCACCTGTGTTTCTCTTCTCTAATTTAGCATATGTTCCATGTCACCTATGCAACTGTTTTTGCAAGAGCTGTGCAAGTACATGGCTTTTTTAATGCCTGTTGTAAGGTTGAGGAGTGCAGCTTGGCAGCATTGGAGGTGCAAGAATGGTTTGTGCCTCCATTGCACTCAGCATGAAAAGCTCCGACTGTGCTAACGATACCTGGACACTATCAGAGTATACAATTATAGGATAAAGGGTTTAATCTCTTGCCCGTCTCTGCCACTATCACAGGTCAAACTGTGTTAAGATCGGTAAGGCTTTACTTGGCAGCATAGGCAGTGAGAATTTGCAATTTAGGAGGCTACTGTTCCAGAACGTATGCGTTGTTGGGTACAGATGAATTTGGTCAGAAAATTTCAGTTAGAAGTTTGTCTTTGGTTAGACTTGGCTATTGCTGGTCCTTTGGAGTTTGTTTCTTGCTATTAAAGATTCATAGGTGCTTCCTTTTCTGACGAGTGACCGACGGCGGCCACGGAGGGAAGTCCAGTTGTTCTCGTAGGGGCTGTCAGGGACCCTGACCCTTGCGAGCATCACGAGGAAGGGAAGCAAAAGCCTGAGCTTGTTGTGGATCTTAAGCTTTTTTTTTTTTTTTTTTTTTTTTTGTTCCTAAACCCTAGAGACAAAAGTGTTCCTACTTATTAAGCGTATTCAAGAAGGAAATGGAATTACAGCACTAAGTAACACATTACTGGTGACAAGGTAAGCAAAATAGATTTTCAGTCCTGATTTCTAATGCACGCTCGGATCTGCTGTACAAATGTTTGTGAATTTGCATTTGGTATCACAAAGGGGTCACTGTACCTGATGGGTAGAATGATTTTAGAGACTATTCCATTGTATTTCACTAAACTAAAATGTTTAAAGCTCCGTATCTAAATTAGGCATGTCTTTGACATTTCATTATTTCATAATTGTGACTACTAGACTTTCCACAACAGGTAATAGCTTTTTTTTTCCCCAAAGATGCGTCAGTCTCCAAGGACAAGTGATGGGTGAAATAGAAGCCTGAGTGCTTGAAGTTTTAAAATAAAGAGAATCAAGTATGAACTACAAGTGTAATTCACTTAAACTCCGTTTTTGCTGCTGGGTATCTAATCTCTGACACAGGCACAGTGAAAAATGCTGTGGCAGAATTTGAAAGCAGGCTGAGTTATAACCTTTAAGAAAATGCAGGACTCTTTCATGGTAAGTGAATTTTCTAATTAAAATGTTAATTGGAAGGATTTTGCCTTGCTTATCGAGGAAAATGTGGTACCCATTTTTCACTGCTGTTTGCATAGCCATGCGGTATTAATAATTTTACGGGGTTTTCTACATCTGCTTAATGAGTGACAAACAGAATTTTCTTAAGTGGCTTGGAATGGGAGATCAGAAATTTCTATCGAGGGCATAATGCAGTGAGGGTAATAAATATTGCCTATGAGGGTTAAAAAGCAAAAAATCCTAGATGTAAGCTTCCTCCTGAATCTAGACAGTCTCTGCAGTAGTTCTCTATATATTATATATTTATATAACACAATTCCTATGCGTGCAACACTACAGCTGTAGGCAAGTTGTGATCAGTTAACCTAACACTTGTATTTAGGGAGCCCTGCTGCTGATCAGAGCCTTGCCAAAGTCAAATTGAACGCAGCCTCCTCTGAAGCCCCACAAAGAGCCTTGGCTGCTGCAGATAACGGGACGGGGGGGGAGGAAATCCTATCTATGTCTATTTGATAATAATTACGAAGCTTAAGGGGCAAAGGAAAATATAATTGGAGCTGTGTTTTTCACATGGTTTTAAATATCAAAAACAAACCAAACATTTAACAGTAAAGCCTTGTGGAAGTTGATATATTCTATCAGAAATACTTGAATGAGAACTGAGGTGTTCTTTTCAAAGAGAAAACGAATGTCCACGTTACACAAAAGCTAAGTATGGGGTTTTTTCCTTCCAGCATAAGCAGAGATCTTTATATCATGAAATGCAAGCAATAACACCTGCTGACGATGCCAAAGTAAGTGAAGTTCAACCTGTTGACCTCTCTCTACTTGCAGCTTTTTCTCATGAACATGCAATAATGCTTCTGTAATTCTCTGCCAATATAGGGAAGCAACTTGCATTAGCAGAGTAATGCATAAGAAAAATACAGCTGAGGTGCAAAAAAAACCTGTTGTAATCATGTCTGTTAGACACAAATTAAACAGCAAGGCTGACGCACTGGAATAATTAGAGATTAAGCCTGCCACTTGGCCAATTCTCATTTACTGAGGTGTCAAGTGTGATGCGTAACCTTGTACCAGCGCATCGTCTGCAAGGACGCTGAGCCCAGCGGGACCTGCTCGGTGTTCTCGTGCTGCCTTTACGGGGGGAGGAAAGCAACAGCCCCCCCAGGCTGAGCTGAAATTGCTTTGTTTGCCCAACTCTTGAAACAGTCAACGAGCACCTACCACGTCTTCCTCCACGTTACACGTATGGCAGGTCTAAAACGTAAGAAGAGTCTGGTCGGTCGGGCTGGGCTTGAGGGCAGGTAGGCTGGAGGGTCCGCTTGGGCCCCCGCTGCGCCCGTTCTGCACAGGGCAGCAGCCTTTGCTCAGGGGCAGAACTTTCAGCGCAGACTTTTTATTTGTTTCCAGACTCTTCTGCTCCTGTAGCCTTTGAGGCTGCTTAAAATGGATGGAGTTCATTTGTACAAGGTACACCCGCACGCTGCCATTTGTTTTCATAACAGCAGTCATGAGGCGTCATTTTGTGTGTTCAGACTGCGAGCTCCAATTTCAGTTCTTCTCCAAGCCATTAGTCACTGTCCTTTGATCCTAACTTTAGGAACAAGTGGAAAAGTTCATCATCAAAAAATGCCTAAAGTAAATGGATTTTACTAAGGGAATGGTCCAGCTGCAAAATACTGTTGCTTCTGTTCATCTCTAGAGAGTCGGTCTCTCCGAATCAAGTACCTGGAACTAAATTTTAGGAGCTGGCAGCTTTGTGGGTTTTCTGACTTCTTAAAAGCTAATTCAAAACCTGTACCCTCTGCTAGTTGTGTGCCTTGCAGGCAAAACTTCTCGTCTCTTCTGTATTTCCAAAAAGTTATTTAGAGGAGAACAATGTAATTGAAATGAATGAAAAACTTGGCCTTTACATTTTTTTTTCCTTGACCTCTGAAAGTCATTCTACAGATGCTTCCATCTAAATTTGTGAATGCGTGGCTGCTTACCACAGTGGAAGCTGGGTAAGATTTGTGGTTCTATACATTGTGTACGTTTACTGGTTGTTGGGATGGCATTGCTTCTCTTCTAACTGCCTTTGGCTGTACAGTTGGAAAAGTCTAACTGTACAGTAGACACATCATAGACCACAGTGTGTTAGCATAGTTTAATGTGTGAGGATTTGACGTGGTTTGGGTGGT